AAACATTATTTGGAAAAGCATGATCTTCAAAACCTGGGGGTTGTTTAACATAAACTTCCTCATTTATAAAACCATTAAGAAAGGCATTTTTACATTCATTTGATAAAATTTGAAATCTCTAAAACATGCAAATACAAGTAACATGCGAATGGCTTCTAATCTAGCAGTCGGAGCAAAGGTTTCATCGAAATCAATACCTTCTTCTTGATTGTATCCTTGTGCAACAAGTCTAGCCTTGTTTCTTATAATTGTGCTAGATTTATCAAGCTTGTTTCGAAAGATCCATTTGATACTGATAATGGTATGATCTTTAAGTTTTGGCACAAGTTCCCACACTTTGTTTCTCTCAAATTGGTTAAGCTCTTCATGCATATCTATTATCCAATGTTCATCGAATTCGGCTTCTTAAAAGTTTTTAGGCTCAATCTGTGAGAGAAAAACCAAGTTACTACAAATGTTTCTAAGTGAAGAGCGAGTTTCAATACCTTTTGTAGGGTCACCTAGGATTAAATCCTTAGGATGATTATGAACAAACTTTCATTCTCTTAGCAAATCATCATTGTTTCCTCCTTCTTCTTGAGGTGGAAGAATATGTTGTTCAATCTCTTTGTTCAACTTACATGGTTGGTTCTCTTCTTTGTAGATACTTAAATCTTCCACATTTGGTTCCAAATCTATATTATCACTAACAATTTACTTTTAAGCAGAGATGTTAGTTTCATCAAATGCCACATGTATAGATTCTTCTACGACAAGAATTCTTTTATTAAAAACACAATATGCTTTACTAGTTAAGGAATAGCTGAGAAAAATTGCTTCATCAGATTTTGAATCAAATTTACCTCAGTTATCCTTACCATTATTATGCACAAAACATTTACAACCAAAAACATGCAAGTGACTAATGTTCGGCTTTTTATCATGCCAAAGTTCATAAGGAGTCTTTTTGAGAATAAGTCTAATTAATACACGATTTAAAATATAGCATGCGGTGTGAACGGCTTCGGCCCAAAAATATTTAGGAAGATTATTTCCGTAAAGCATTGTTCTACTCATCTCTTCTAAAGTTCTATTCTTCCTTTTTACTACACCATTTTGTTGAGGGGTTCTAGGTGCTGAAAAATTATGTCCAATACCATGCTCATCACAAAACAATTCAAATTTCTCATTTTCAAGTTCTCTACCATGAGCGGTTCGAATATTAGTAATAAGAAAGCCTTTTTCATTTTGAATTTTACGACAGAGTTTTGTGAAAGAAGAAAAGGTTTTATCTTTGTGTGCTAAAAACATAACCCATGTAAATCTTGAATAATCATCAACAATAGCAAGACAATAATGTTTACCACCTAGACTAGATGTCCTTGAGGGACCAAATAAATCCATATGCAATAGTTGTAAAGGTCTAATTGTGGAAATGTGAGATTGTGATTTAAACGATGTTTTAGTTTGTTTTCCTTGTTAACAAGCACTACAAAAATGATCTTTTTCAAATTTAATTTTTGGAAGTCCATGACCAAATCCTTTCTCAAAAGTTTAGCAATTAAATCCATATGAGCATGACCAAGTCTTCTATGCCATAACCAACTATTTTCATTATTAACATATAGACATTTAACATCACTAGCATAGAGATCACTGAGATGAAAAACATAAACATTATCGTGACGATTACCAATGAATAAAGCTTTATGATCATTTGTGCTTTCAATTGTGCAATGTGATTTATCAAAAATAACTCAATTACCTTTATCACATAATTGACTAATACTAAGTAGATTATGCTTAAGTCTATTAACAAGTAAAACATTTTCAATAGAAGGGTTAGGAGAAATACCGATGCTACCAATACTGATGATTTTTCTTTTCTTGTTGTCTCCAAAAGTAACAAAGCCTCCATCTTTGGATGACAATGCAGTAAAGAAGGATTTATCTCCGGTCATGTGTCTGGAACATCCACTATCAAGATACCACTTCCCTTCTTTAACTTTGGACTTAAAGCAAACCTATAAGATGACAACCAAGTGTTGGTTTTTGGTACCCATAGTTTCTTGGGTCCTTCTTGGTTAGTTTTGTTAGATCTCTTAATAATCTAAATCTTTTTAATTCCCATGTTCATATTCTTTTTGAATGGACAATAAGATATATAATGGCATTTCTTTCTATAATAATGACAAGTAATATGAAGGTGTGTCATGAGAGGTGCCTTTTCAAAAATTGTATTGAGACTCTTTTGTTTCTTAATAGGGTCATATCCAATACCTGCTTTATCAAAAACACATCTTTGATTTCCAAGAAGCATGTTAAGATTATCTCTACCTTTTACAAAATTTTCAAGTATTTTTGTTAAATCATCAACATTGTTTTTTGAAGTAGTTTACTCATTAGAGATAGTATCATTTTTCAAAACAATTTTTTCTTTCTTTAATTCTACTACATTAATAGATAAGGATGCAACAGATTTCTTCAACACATTATTTTTAGCACAAACTTTTCTAAATTCATCTTGTAGTTCATGGAATGCACTTTCAAGTTCTTCATAAAAAGTAGTTACCTCATCTTGAGTAGAGTCTTCATCTTCAAGAGCCATGGGACATAAGTTGGCTACTTCATTTTCAATTTCATCACTTGAGCTTTCATCTTCACTTTCTCCCCAAGCTGCTACCATGGCCTTTTTGTTTCTTTTGTAGTCTTTTCCATAATTCTTCAATTTTGGACAATCCATCTTCATATGTCCAGGATTTTTACACTCATAGCAAATAATAGGCTCCTTCTTGTTATCTTTGTTATACTCTTTCTTGAAAGGTCTTCTTTCTCCATAATTGTTTTTCTTGAAGTGTTTTTTGAGATTTCTACTAAACATGGCATAGCTTTCATTCTCACTGGAGTTTTCATATTCTTCTTCATTTGATGAGGCTTTGAATGCAATTTCACTTTTCTTTTTGTTTTCAACATCCTCATGTCCTTTCATGGCAATCTCATGAGTCATAAGGGAACCTATAAGCTCATCCAATCCAAGTGTGGAGAGATTTGTGGCTTCTATAATGGTCGTGACCTTTGCTTCCCAATTCTTTGATAAACACCTAAGAATTTTTCTCACCAACTCACTGTTAGTATAAGTTTTGCCAAGAGATTTCAAAGAGTTTACAATTTCAGTAAATGTAGTAAACATACTTGAAATAGATTCATTAGAGTTCATTTTAAACAATTCATAACTATGAACAAGCATATCAATACGAGATTCCTTCACTTGGTTTGTACATTCATACGTTACCTCAAGTTTGTTCAAAATTTCTTTTGCCGAATCACAACTTGAAATTCTATTATACTCCTTAGAGTCTAATCCACAAACAAGGGTGAGTTTGGCTTTAGCATTGGCTTGCAATAATTTATGATCCCTCTCATCACATTCATCTTAGGTTTTAGGTACACTAATATTGTCTACTAATTTGGTAGGAATTTTTGGACCTTTGGTGACAATAATATACATGGCATAATCAGTGGCTTGTAGATATAGAGTCATCTTATCCTTCCAATGACTATAGTTGTTTCCGTCAAACAATGGTGGCTTATTTGTGGCTTGTCCTTCAACTAAGGTTGCCATGGATCGAAACTCCCAAATGGTTAAATCTAAAACAAGAGTCTAGGCTCTGATACCAATTGTTATCCAAAAGACAACCTAAGATGGGGGGTGAATTAGGTTTTTACAAATAAAAATAATAATACCCTAATAAAAATTATGACTAGCACAATAGATAAATATAGTTAATGAAATAAAAATAATTAAAACAAGTGTTCTAACAACTATGTCAGTTAATAATTTTAGAACAGTGAAAATGTGAAATATAGCTATGGCAATTTAAATAAAATAAAGAGATAAGAGAGAGAAAGAGGCAAACAAATTTATAGTGGTTCGGTTTTAACTCGGCCTACATCCACTCCTCAAGCTTCACTTGAGATTTTCCACTATACTCTAGCTTCACAAGGTGCTAGCAACCTTTTCACAGATGGAGCAATCCTCCACAGATTTTACACAAACTTTCTAAGTCAAGAACACTGAGTGTACTACATTCTTACAAGGTTGAAAAGAATGTGTTTTTGTACACAGAAAGCTACAAGAATTATCTCTCAAAGATAGATATAAAAATGAAATTCTGATTTTTCTGTAAACCTTACACAGGAAAGATGGGCTTAAAGCTATACATCTTAGTTTATAATGTAAACAAAAATTGAAGAATATTTCTCAAAGAATTTTTCAGAGAATAGATGTGAGTGATTATAGATCAAAGAATATTTTCTAGTTTTTTTTGTAACTTGTTTACATTAGAGGCTTTGGTATATATAATGAAACTTATAGCCGTTTATAGCCGTTGTATTCATTTGAATTTATAGTCGTTTATAGCCGTTGTACTCATTTAAATATCTTCCACTTCATCATTACTAATTTGAATATCTTCCACTTGAACCTTTTGGCCTGCTGCTGTGCTGAGCGGTTTGAACCTTTTGGCCTGCTGCTGTGTTGGGCTGTTTGAACCTTTGTTTTGGGCTGTTTGAACCTCTGGTTTGGGCATTATTTTTGGGTTGAAATGAATTCCTGATTTAAGCAAATATTAAATACATTCAAACAATGTTTAGGATAAAAGTTTAGGTGAGAAATAATGGGACAAAATAAATTTTGATTCTATTTTTCTCTTTCAAATAAATTAAAACATAATTAAATATATCATCAAAATAAATTTTGGATTCTATTTTTTTTTCAAATAAATTAAAGTATAATTAAGTAAATCATCAAAATAAATTTTGGATTCTATTTTTCTTTTTCAAATAAATTAAAACATAATTAAATAAATCATCAAAATAAATTAGTCTAACAATTCTGTTTCAAGAGACAAAGAAAGAAAGTGTGTCTGAAAAGTTTGTAAGGTCCTTTTGGCCTGGGGCAGAGTTTGAGTTCATGGCAGTGGATCCTATGGGTATGGCAGGTGGATTGCTTTGTGTATGGAACTCTGGTGTGTTTTCAATGAAGGCTTGTTGCAGTAATAGAAACATTATTCTGCTGTCTGGTATCATTTTGTCCAGGTTTGAATGTGTTATTGCTACTGCGTATGCCCTAAATAAAATTGAATGTGAAAGTAATTTGTGGAAATCCATCTGTAATTTGAAATCAATATTCCTTCGGCCTTGTTGTTTGCAAAGGGATTTTAACAAAATTAAACAATTAGGGAAAAGAGTAAGGTGTTCCAGAAGGGATAGAGATACGAAGGATTTCAATGAATTCATTGAGTCAATGGAGGTCACTGATTTCCCAATGCTTGGTAGGAAGTTCACATGGTGTAATGCAGCTAATGGTGAGAAGTGGAGCAGAATTGATAGATTCCTACTGTCTTCGGAATGGTTGGAGTGTTTTAAATTCAATGTTTGGGGTCTTCCAAGGGTTGTATCGGATCACTATCCAGTGCTACTAATGGAATATGATAGAGATTGGGGTCCAAGGCCTTTCAAGTTCATTAATGCTTGGGTGTTGCATCCACAGTTTTGTTCAGCGGTAAAGAAGTCTTGGGAGGAATCTAATGTGCATGGTATGGGTGGTTTTTTTTTCTTTGCAAAGTTGAAAGCTCTCAAGTTAATCTTGAAGAAGTGGAATATTGAAACTTTTGGTAATGTCAAATACAAGTTGAGGGAAGCTGAAGATGAATTGCACTGCCTGGATCTGAGTACTGAAAGCAGGGTTCTTAATGACACTGAGACTGCCAGGATAAGATTTTTGAGAGGGGAGGTGTGGATATAGAGAAAAAGAGAGGAATGGACATGGTTAAAAAAATCAAGAATGTCATGGGCTTTGTAGGGGGACAAAGATACACAGTTTTTTCACATAATGGCATCTTCTAAGGATTAAACAAGTCATTCCTAAGGTTGTAAGTGAGGTTCAATCAGCCTTCTTGAAGGGAATGGATATTTTGAATGGGATATTGATTGCTAATGAAGTGGTTGATGAATGGAAGAAAACTAAAATGAAGGGATTGATTTTAAAATTAGATTTTGAGAAGGCATACGATTCAGTTAACTGAGAATCCTTATTTTTAATGCTTATAAGTTTTGGGTTTGGAGATAAATGGATTCAATGGATGAAGGAATGCGTCACAAACGTGAAGGTTTCAATTCTTGTTAACGGTTCACCAACCTCTGAGTTCTGTCCTGAAAAAGGACTTTGCCAACGTGATCCACTTTCACATTTTTGTTTTTTAATGTAGTGGCAGAAGGGTTAAACATTTTGATTGAAAGAGCAAAGGAGTTGGGATTAATTAGAGGTGTGAAAATTGGGTCTAGTAAGGTCGTTTTAACACGTTTATAATTTGCGGACAACACAATATTTTTTTGCGAAGTTGATAGGGTGGAAGTCATGAACGTAAAAAGAATTCATAGATGTTTTGAAGTAATGTCTGGTCTCAAGATTAATTTTCACAAAAGCAGTATATGTGGGATGGGAGCAACTGAGGACCTAATGGCTGATTTTGCATCTAAGCTTAATTGTAAGAGTATCAAATTACCTTTCACATATCTTGGATTACCTCTGGGTGCAAGTCCAAGTAGGATAAGCACTTGGAAGCCTATTATTGATAAATGTAGACTCAAGCTTGCATCTTGGAAAGGAAGCTATTGTCGTATGGGGGAAGAATAACATTGATTAAAGTTGTTCTTTCAAGTTTCCCAGTTTACTATTTATCGATGTTCAAAATTCCTGATGGGGTTACAAAAGTAATTGATAGATTGCAAACAAATTTCTTATGGGGTATGGTTAAGTGGGAGGAAGTCACAAAGAGTAAAGCTCAAGATGGGTTGAGAATCTAGAAAATTAAGGAGTTCAATGAGAGTCTTTTATCTAAATGGTGGTGAAGGTTTGGATTTGAGGATCAAGCTCAATGGAAAAGGATCATCTGCTCTAAATATGCATGTCTAGGAGGGAAGTGGTTGCCTTTTTTGGAATTCAGTTCCATTGTTTCCAAAGTATGGGATGATATTCTTAATGTGGATGTTTTAAATCCTCTTCTAAGGAACTTTTATTTGTCAAATGCTAAGATTGTTATTGGAAATGGGAACATAATTAAGTTTTGGAGTGATAACTGGATGGGAAATAGTTGTCTTAAAGACGAGTTCCCAAGACTTTTTGAATTGTCTACAGAAAATGATGACTCCCTAAGAATGATCTTCAACAGAAAGGGAAATATAAGAAGTGGAGAATGGCTTTTATGTAACGCCCTCAAAATACTATATAAATCAACCGTTCACAAGATCTATAGACATAAAGAAGTATCATAATTTCATTCATCAGAGTCTTCTTTACAAAATGTGTAACATGCATTACATCTTCATAATTGTTTATCTTGAAACTATAGCATGAGGTTTTAACTGATACAACAAAATAGATGCCCTACGGGCTTACAGCTTTCCAAGTTATCACTTGGTTACAACAAAAGAAGAATCCTAACTCTTTGACATACAAAGCCCTCGGCTTAAAAGGAAACATATAAACACAAAATGAAATCACAAAAGTAGAGCCTTTAGCCTTTAAGCCTCCCAAGCTATGTCCTTGGAGGTGGCATGTCACGGGTACCAGAAAATGATTTCCCAAGTAGGGTGAGCCAAAGCCCAGCAGAGATATGCTAAACAATATATGAGAATTAACTAAAATATGAGCATCAGATAAATGTGCGGCGTTCTTAACCGACACATACTCTTTTCAAGGTCATTCAATATGGATACTAATATCTCAATTCATTTTCATTCTTCCACTTTGGGTAAATCAGTTAACACATATTCATTATTATCAAAACAACAAATATGAGACTACAACTTAATGGTTCACGATTTAATACATTCATTAATCCAACACTTCTATTTCTTGGCATTTTACGGAACCACGTCCGAGGGAACCGGTACCCATAAATATATAAGATTTTGGGACTCCCTAGACACTCCGGCCAACTTAATTTTCAATGGAGTCCATCCCCTATCTCCTCCCACACAATGGAGTACATCCCCTATCTCCTCTCAAACAAAGATACATATACAATGTATTTAAACACGTTGTTATGTACAATGACTAATCAAATCACATATTCAATGGTTTAATCAAACCGTCATATTCAATGACATAATTCAATTGATTAGTTTCGATCTTCCTAATTCTCATGCAGTTTCTACAACAATCATAGCTATCCTCCACTGATAGCCCAAAATAGATATATCTAAATTGATAAATAAATCTATCAACAGATAATTTATCAATTTCCATAGGTGTGTGATTTATCCAACCAAACTACACCATTCAATCACATTATTCCCCAATTTCATAATTCCCAAACCAATTTCATTATTTACACAAATAGTTATTTCAACTCAACTTAGGGCAAAATTTTTCCCTTTCCAAAATATCAACCCATAGGTCTAAATCTCTCCATTTCAATAATAAAGAACCTCATACACAAACCCCCAAGATTTACTTTGTAAATCAACAAGAAAACCCCCTTTAGTTTAGAGCCCAAACCTTAACTTTCACCAAAGTCTTCTCAAATCCTACCATTTATACAAAATGACAAATATCTAGGTTAAAGTTCATATTAAAGAGTAGAATATCCCTACCTAAAAGTTAGGAGAGCAAAGGAGAAGATGGAAGAAACTTTGAAGATGACCAAACTCCACCTTTTTTGGATCAAATGGAAGCCCACGCAATGCTCTAGCTTTTTAATAAAGAGAGTAGGGTAGAAAGACCCAAGATCATGGAGTATTTGTAGAGAGAGGGTGTGTTTTAGAGAGAGGGGCTGTTGTGCTAGGGTTTTGAGTGAAAATGGGGCCAAAAAGTGATACAAAATATCAATGCTGCGAACTGATATATGCGAGGCTCGCTCGAGCGAAGGAGTTGTCGCTTGAGCGACCAGACACAACAAATACCTCGCTCGAGCGCAAGAAGCATCACTCGAGTGCACAATGCAAAGCTTTAGGTTTGCCACAAACGCAGACGCACACTCGAGCGCAAGAAGCCTCGCTCGAGTGAAACAACAAATAACACAAGGCTCGCTCGAGCGTAAGAAGTCTCGCTCGAGCGAAAGCTGCGTCTGAGAAAGAAAACTGAGGACTCTCAATTCTCGCTCAAGCGCAAGAACCCTCGCTCGAGTGAAGAAGCAAATACCCAAGGCTCGCTCAAGCGCAAAAAGCCTCGCTCAAGCGAAGAAGCCAAAACCTAGGCAGCAACCACTTATACTAACTAACAACCAACCTGTTCCAAACTCACCCAACAAGTCCCAAAACTCAAATTCAACGAATTAAAGGAAGGAAACAAGACATAGACAACAACATACAACTACGGAACCTAAGTCCGGAACATAATAAAGGTCAGGATAAAACCCGGATCACTATATTTTAGAAGACCTTTGAGGGCCTGGGAGGAGTCATAGGTTAATGAGCTTTCTTCACTGGTTTCTTCAGTCCTGACAGAGGTGTCTAGCGTCGAGCATAGTCTCAGGTGGTCTGCCTCTGCATCAAGTCAGTTCATTGTTTCTTCAGTTGACAATCGTTATGTTCTTGGGTCTATTTCTGGTGTGCCTTCCTTAATTTGGAATAATTTTGCCCCTCCCAAAACTCAGTTATTTGGTTGGTTAGCGTGGAAAGGGCGGATTAAATCTCTGGCTTATCTATAGAGGATTGGTGTTCTTAGCCCAAGTTATTTTTTAATTGCATTTTCTATAATTCTGGGATCGAAACGGTTAATCATGTTTTCTTACTTTGCCCAGTAGTATGGAAGGTTTGGTCCCAAATGTTGGAATTGTAGGGGTTACAATGGGTTTTGCCAGGATCAATTGAGGGCTTGCTTGTCTGGTGGTCTGGATTTAAATTCAAGAAGTTTATTGGATCAATCTGGAAAGCTATCACATTGGTGCTGATGTGGTCAATTTGGAAATGTAGGAATAATTGTATTTTTAATGGAATCTAGCCTAATTTGGATGATCTATGT